CCCCAAAACCCCAAAACCCCAAAACCCCTTATAGCATAAGTAATTTTTTAATCAGAGAATTATATTAAGACAATAAAAAATAGAATTCTATTAAAGGATATTAATTTATATAAAACATATATCCTTTTTTAGCGACTGAAATCAGGAAATAGGTCCCATCTCTACTACAGTAACAACACCTGGTTTTGCTTTTATGCAATCTTTTATCCTGTTCACAGTAGACGCACAAGTTATTGCAGTTGTATCAGGTTTGGGCATTTTAAGTGTTAGTGAAGGTACTCCTACCGTTTCCCACTCACAGTAATCTTCCATTTCTCCATGATAAATACATCCAATAGATTGTGCTTCGATTTCTGCTACCTTACCATCCTATCTTAGCAATTAGCAATAAACTATGGCCTTGAATCCAGTGGCTCTACCTTAAGGAATAAAGCCATATTACTTAGATTAAATATCAATAGGAGCCAAGGTCGGTTCATGTTTCTAAGAGATGCTTAAAACTTTCCATCCTAATCTGATTGCTAGTGCTTCGACTGGAGGCCAAAAGTATGTAGGTTCTCTCTCAGTTCTAACAAATTTTTCATCAAACTCCTCCATAGTGAGTCCAATGCCATTATCACCAACTCCATAATCATCGAAGTTATATTAGATTCTTACTATGAGCTTATCAACCTTGTGAGATATGCCAACTAATGTAGATCCAAAGTAGCATCCAAGAAGATCATAATATCCTGTTCCAGTAAAGGTTACTAAATTCTATCTAAACATCGTATCAATTTCATATGTCAGTTAAGGTTGGATATTCCAAGAATAAAAAGCTTCTTCATTAATAGTAAGTACATTCACTCTATTTTTGGCTAAAATTTTTAGCGAATCCATGATTTGAGAAAGTTTAGACTTTGTTGAAACAATACAAGCGATAGGTCGAGTCTCTTAGAGAACATCATCTGCTTCTTCGCGGCTAATAATATTCACACCTAATTGTTCCATACCTGCGATTTCACCAGCGTCTTTGCCATGGTTGTGGTTATCAATAACAGTGGCTATTTGGTAGTCACTTTCAATTAGATATTTTAGCATAACTTTATTCATTAATCCAAAGCCCCAGAGTGCAATCTTCTCTCCCATAATGCTTTAAATATATCTAATTAAATCTCTTTAAATCATATATAAGAATATCTTCCCCATGGGGTTTTGGGGTTTTGGGGTTTTGGGGTTTTGGGG